GCAAAAGCAGCAGGTGCTCTTAACCACTAAATTCTCTCTCTAGCCCTCAAGCACACATTTTTAAGAGTTCAACTTTTACTTTTCCAGTGAATTCAACATTCTCCCCTACTTGTCCTACCCAGCCTTTCTCACACTGCTCCCTTGTTCTGTTCTGCAGGAACATGTAAAGCCCTACGCCCGAGCTAGAGACACAGACCCACGGGAGAATATCCGCCAGCCTAGTGTGCATGACACTCCAAATTCCAGCTCCAGCACTGGAAAAAAAATTAAACATAGAAAAACCCAAAAGCACTTTTTTTGGTGTTGTTTGTTTGATTATTATACTTTATTTATCGTTTGTCTCCCAACCAGATGAAGCCTCACTAGGGTGGGGTGGTGGTTTGAATAGGAACAGCCCCCATAGACTCACGTTTGAACACTTGGCTCCTAGGGAGTGGCACTATTAGGAGGGGTGGCCTTATTGGAGTAGGTGTGGCCTTGTTGGAGGAAGTGTGTCACCGTAGGAGCAGGCTTTGAATTAGCACTCAAAAAAAACTAAAGAACTTGTCGGTGTCAGTGGGACAAACCCAGGCTCTGACGCCATCTTGGCTGCAACTTCCTGTTGCCTATAAAATACGGCGTGGAGGATGGAACTACTAGAGAAAAGCATGGCGGCACTGCTGCATTGATACTCTACCTTCCTGCTGGATCTCCTCCCTCCACTTCCCCCCTTTTCTTAATCTGCCCCCTGGAATCTCTGTAACGTATTTCTGTTTCCTAGAGTGCTAGGAGAGAAGTCAGGGCCTAGCATACGCCAGGCGGGCACTCCACCTCTGACCCACTCTTTAAAACATCATCTGTGTGTGGTGTGTGTGCACACATTTGTGTGTGTGGCAATGCATCTGTGTGCACACATGCGTTCGTGTATGAGTGTGTGTAAGAAGCCGTGCACACTCATGCGCTGGAGATTTTGACGTCAGGTATCTATTGCTCTCCACCTTAAGTTTCTGCAGCGAGGTCTCTCACGACCCCTGAGGTCCCCGGGCAGCAAGACAAGCCAGTTATCAAGCTTCTGGAGCCTTCCCTCTCTCCCTCCGGCACTTAGTTACAGGGACGGGTCACACCTGCCTTCTTAGAGTTCTCTTGTCTACAGGCCAAGCACTTTACAGACTGAGCTAGCTCCCCCACCATAAAGCATTTTTACGGCAGGCCTCTAGGTCAGGGTTCTTAGCCTGTGGGTCGTGACCCCTTCGGGGTTGAATATCAGATATTTACATTATAATTCACAACAGTTTACGGTGGGGGGGCACCACAATATGAGGAACTGTTTTAAAGGGTCACATTGAGAATGTTAAGGACTACTGCACTACTTGATGCCCACAAAGCAAAGTCTGGAGATCTCTATATCTTTATTTGAGATTCTAACTTCCTTGGTTTGGTTTGGTTTTTTTGAGACAGGGTTTCTCTGTGTAGCCTTGGCTGTCCTGGACTCACTCTGTAGACCAGGCGGGCCTCGAACTCACAGAAATTCGCCTGCCTCTGCCTCCCGAGTGCTGGGATTTCAGGCATGGCCCACCGCACCCAGCCTAGCTTCCTTTTAAATTTGGTAATTTCGGAACTAGGTTTCCCTACCACAATGATTCTCAGAGTGAACATTACAGCACAGCCTAAGAACTTATTCAAAACTCCCAGGCTCCATCCCAGACTATGGCACCAAAGTTCTGGGGATAGGATTATGTGGTGGGCCTGGCAATTTAACTTTTTAATGGAGTGGAAGGGGGGTGGTACGGGGTCTCACTACTCAGCCTGGGCTAGCCTGGAACTCCCTATACAGCAAAGGTTAGCTACAAACTGGTGATCCTCCTACCTGGAAGTGCTAATTACAGACAGACACCATGCATGGCTACTATCTGCATTTTTAAAGTGTGAGTGTATGTTCGTGGTGTACTCACATCTGTGCACATCTGGTTGCACAGGACAACTGGTTCCTCCTCTATTTCTTTGGGACAGTGTCTCTCTTTAAGCTAGGCACTTGTTCCTCTCCTCCCGCCTCAACCTGGCAGTCAGCAAGCCCCAGTGATCTTCCTGTCTCTGACCACTATGATACTGAAACTGTAGGCACATGAGGACACACCCAGATTGTCACATGGGTGCTGGAATCCACACCTAGGTCTCATGGTTACACAGCAAGCACTGTTAACTACAATACCATCTTTCCAACCCCAATCTTCATTTTTAAAGCCTACAAAGGCCAGGTTTGGTGAAGCATGCCTATAATAGTTCAAGGTCATCCTCAGGCACATGGTAAATTTGGGCTATATGAGACCTTGTCTCAAAAAAAAAAAAATTTTTTTTAAACAAAAATAAAGATGCGAGCATGGTGGCATACATATTTAATCTCAACCTTTGTGAATTTGAGGCCAGCCTGGTCTACATAGGGCTACATAGAGAAACCCTGTGCCAAAAACCAAACAAACACTAACGGGACAACAGAGATGACTCAAAGGCTAGGAACACTTACAGAAGTTTCTGAGTTCTGTTCCCAGCACCCATGTCTGGTAGCTTACAACTACCCCCATCTCCAGGGAATCTGAGTTGCCCCTCTGGCCTACTCTCACATACACAAACCCACACATAGATACACACAAACACAGATAATTAAAGATGAAAATAAGCTGGGGTTACTGGCACACATCTTTAATCCCAACACTCAGGAGGCAGAGGCTGATAGATTTTGTGAGGCCTATGAGAGAGTTCCAGGCCAGCAAGGGTTACGCAGTTAGACTCTGTATCAAAAACACAAAACAAGGGCTGGAGACAGCCCGGCGGTTAATAGCAATTACAGCTATCGAAGTGGACCTCAGTTTGGTTCCCAGGACCCACAGATATCTCCCTCCTACAATTCCAATTTCAGGAGACCTGGCCTTTGCAGACTCCTCCATAAAGAAAGCAAATATTTTTTTTAATCTAAAAAACAAACAAACAAAAAACCTAAACAAATAGCAAAGTCTTATATAGCTAGGAATGGTAGCAGCCACCTGTGACTGCCTGTATTCAGAGGGCTGAGACAGAATGATCCCAGGTTTACCTTAGGCCTGGGCTACAAACTGAGTTCAAGGACAGCTTGAGTATCTTAGTGAGACTAGGTCTCAAAATAAATGTTAAAAGGGCTAGGGATATGGTATTGTGGTAGAACACTTGCCTAGCATTCACAAGGCCCAACATTCAAGCCCAGTCCTGAAAAAGAACCAAAAAGTAAGACCTGCCCGAGCTAGACAATCGGCACCTTTAATCCCGGCACTTGGGAGGCAAAGGCAGGTCGATTTCTGTGGGTTCAAGGTCAGCCTGGTCTACAAAGTGAGTCCAGGACAGCCAGGGCTCTCGTTACACAGAGAAACCCTGTCTTGAAGAGAAAAAAAAAAAAAAAAAAAAAGAGGAAGAAACAGGCTGCCTCTAGCCCCTCCCCCCTCCCTTGTGGCCTCTGGGTGTTTGCCACACAAAAGCTGCTACCACTCACTGACTCTGTTCCTGTCTCAGCCTCAGTATTTTCATTCATCTGGGAAACATGGTCTCATAACAGATGATCTTGTGTGCTGTACATAGCAGTCAAGGGAAGGAACCTGAGTTTGGTTCCCAGCCACCACCCTGCTCAAATAATATTTTAATGTAATAAAAGATTCTTTTCCTGGATGTCCTTTCAATTCTCACAATGACAACACTTGAGGTATAGGCTTGGGTAATGGTTAACAAGAGCATGAGCTCTTTAATCCTCAACAGTCCAATGAGGGCTGGATATATAGTTTACTTGATAGAGAGAACACTAGCCTAGCATACCTGAGCTCCCAGATTCTTTTCCTAGCAACAGAAAACAATCCCATCAGACACATCCTGTTTCCTCCTCCTACCCAACCAAGGTCATCCCTCCACAAAAGCCTGAGGTTCCAAGGTACACTCCAGGCTCGGTTCCCAATGTCAGCTTCTCCCTCTTTATCCAGCATGGAGGTGAAGAGCACAGTTCCAACGCCTCTCGGCTTTCCAAAAGTCCCAGCTCACAGGGATCTAATAATGGAACTCTATGGCTTCACTTGGGACAGGAGGAATGAAGACGCCTTTCCACAGGTGTGCGGACAGGTGTGCTCGCTTCTTTAGCTAATGTTCTTTCTACGTTCCCTGTCCTCAAACCTGTGAGGGTGCGGGGATGGGAAACGGGAGACCCATTAGGGAAAGACAGGTTAGCACAGGGTCAGAGGTGCTCCAGTGATTAAGCGCAGAGATGGGGGGGTAGCAGCAGGCGTCGCGTGGTGGAGGGAGGAGCAGCCCAGAGCCAGTCAGGGGACGCCAAGCCCTCCAAAGCTGAGCTGAGCCTCTCTCCTAGGAGGCCACCGGGGTGGTACAAAGTGCAGGGTGCACCATGAGACCTGAGTCCTACCCAGAGCTGCCTCTGCGTGGCACGCAGACTGACCTTGAACGACTTGTACCTCTCCCGTTGACCCACCTGTACCATGCAGGGTGAGGGATCACTTTGGGAATTCCCACTGTATCCCAGATCTCCTCTTTTTCTTTCTAAAACTTCCTGAGAGAACGGCTGCCTGGCCCAGACGCCCCCAGCGCGTGCTAAATCACAAAAGCCTGACAAGAGGCTGCTAACACTACACTCCGCCTTCGCCCCGACTCCAGGGCTCAAGACCTATCCCTCCCACTCACCTCAGGCGAGACCCTGGTCCCAAACAGGACAAAGAACCTGCCCAGCTAGGCATGGTAGTGCACGCCAGTAATATCTAGGAGGCCGAGGCAAGAGGATTCTGAGGTCGATTCACATGCAATGTGATCCTGTTTAAAAAACAAAACCCTACCCATACCTTTTCACCTCCCCGATTCTTTCTCAGCCTCCCCCTCAGGCCTACATCTCGGCAGCTCCGCCTCTAACCGCTGCATTCCAAACCCTGCAGCCTCAGCTCCTCATTCCAGCCCCCTCCCTCGCCCCTGTTCTGAGCGCGCAGTCAGCCCCATCGGCCTCTCACCGCACAGCACCCGCAGCCGCGAGGTCCCCAGCACGGGGTCCCGGCTTCCTCAGCAGCCACTGTGCCGCTGCAGAGATGATGCACAACCGTGGAGCCATGTTGGACCGGAGTAGGTTGGAGGAAGGCCACGCCCCAGCCCGATGGCGGAGGCGGGACTAGGGAAAGCCACGCCCTCCTCCGTCAGCCTCTCTTTCAAACACAGCCAGGTGGGAGTCCCCCAAATCTACGAACGCACAGTCTAAGCTATTGAAGCTCAGCAGCTGACCGGCTCCGTCCCCTTGAACAAGCTTTTCCCCACTCTGCACCTCTGGATTCACCTCGATAACTGCGGGAGTCAAATGTCCTGGACAGTCTGTGTACCCCTGAACCTGTATACAACCTATGTGTGCCTGGGAGTTTTCTTCTTACTTGTGCGCTGAAACACTTGGCTAGGCAAGTGTTCTGACTGCACCGTGTATTCCTTTGGGTCAAGGCATCAACAGACAATGTTTATCCTGTCAAAAGAACAAACTCCGACAAATTTTTTTTTTTAATATTTTGTTTGCGCGTGTAAAGAAGTGTTTGTGTGTGGCTGTGGAGGCCAGAGTCCTCGAATATCCTAAAGCTGGAGTTTTAAAGGAGGTTTTGAGCCTCTCTAATGGGTGCTGGAATCCAAATTCGGGTCTCCTCCAAGAGCAGTGCAGGCTTTTAACAGCTGAACAATAGCTTCAGCTTTTTTTTTTTTTTTTTCCTGGTTTTTTTGAGACAGGGTTTCTCTGTGTTACCTTGGCTGTCCTGGTCTCAATTTGTAGACGGGGCTGGCCTGAAACTCACTGATCCTCCTGCTTCTGCCTCCCCGGGTCCTGGGTTTAAAGGTGGGTCCTGGGTTTAAAGGTGTGTCCTGCCACTTGTCACCACAGCCGCCACCCCCACCACTGTGGCCCAGCTTCTCTTCAGAAATTTAAGCCAGGTGGGCAAGGCTCTGAGCAAGTGGGGTGCTTTCTCTCCAAAGCCTGAGTGTGATGGTGATGCCAGCACTTCAGAGGCGGAGACAAGAGACTACATAATTCAAGGCAGAAAAAGCTTTCTCTCCATGATCTACTCTCCATTATCTACTCAGCCCACTCAGAGATGGAGAGCCTCCTAGCCCCTAAGGGAACCCAAGGACAGAGACACATCAACCGAAAGAATGCCAACACACGCACAGCTGTTCCTGCTCTGGGTGCCTGAGGTACAGGGACTTACAGAGGGCATAACTCATTGCCTGACTGCTTCAGACTGGCTAGCTAGGTCCTAAGCTCTTGAGACTCAAAAGGTTGGCTAACAAGTTCTATCTCTACCTGTTGGCAGCCAAGGCCTGATGGAGGTGACAACTATCCGATCACTGCTGACTGAAACTTCAGGGGCAGAGGTGATAGCCACCCATGCCCCTCAGCTAGGCTAGCTGGCAAGTGAGCTCCCAGGATCCTCTTGTCTCTGCTTCCCCAGCATTGGGTTACAACAACCTCCCTTCCTGTGATGTGCTGGGAATCAAACCAAGGTCTTTGGGCTTATGCTAACTGAGCAATCCCCAACCCAAGAATTTAGATTTAAACTATGTGGTGGTTTGAATGAGAATGACCACCTTAGGCTCATATGTTTGAATTCTTGGGCTCCAGTTGGTGGAACTATCTGGGAAGGATTAGGTGTGGCCTTGTGTGGGGAGGTGTGTCGCTAGGGCCAGGGTTTCAGGTTTCAAAAGCCCACAGCCATTCCCAGTTACCTCTCTCTGCCTCTGACAGTGGATCAAGATGTGAGCTCTCAGCTACTGCTCTAGCACCATGCCTGCCTTACCTTCTGCCATGCTCCCTGCCATGACAGTTACGGACTTTAAGCCTCTGGAACTTATGTAGCCCACAATAAACTCCCAACATTGCCTTATCACAGCAATAGAAAAGTAACTAAGATGAACTGTGATTCCTTTTCTCCTTGAGGTTTGTTTATTTTTTTTCCCCCTTAAAATTTTTTTATTTGGTCAACAGAGAAGTTCTGGGACAGCCAAGGCTACATAGAGAAATCCTGTCTCAAAAAACCAGAACCTCCAAAAAAATTTTAATTAAATTTCATGTGTATGTGTACATGCATGAGTGTATGTATGTGCACCACATGTAGGCAGTGCCTGAGGAGGTGGGAAGAGGCACCAGGTCCCCTGCAATTGGAGTTACAGATGGTTGTGAGCAACAGTGAGGATGCAGGAAATCAAACTCAGGTCCTCCTGCAAGAGCATTTAATGCTGCTCTTTATCTCCAGCCCTCCCTTCGAGGGACACAAATTATTTTGTGTGATTTCGCTACAAAGGAAACTGTGTATCAATATGCTAAACAGACGTCAGAATCAGTGTCACATCAGGTGGAACCATCCAAAGAACTGCAGTGAAAATCGGTGGTGAGGACTGTAGCTAAGGTGGCAGGCTGCCAGCCTGTAAGGTCTGTTCTGAGAGAGCAAGGTGAAGCACACAGAGACACTAGGGGACAGAGAGAGTGTGCTCTCCACAGGGTGCCCAGGCCACTGCAACTCAGGAAAAACCCAGCTATTTAGATGGAGGATTACCAAATGGAGACATTGCTGTTGTCGTCTGCCCTTCCTTTAAGAATCAAGAGGCTGAACAGGGCAGTGATGACCCACACCTTTGATCCCAGCCCTTGGGAGACAGATGCAGGAAGAAGTCTGTGTATTGGAGGTCAGCCTAGTCTACAGAGAGAGTTGCAGGACAGCTGGGCTGTTACACAGAGAAACCCTGTCTCAAAGAAAAAAAGTTACTTATGTTTTTAATGTGAACTCTTGGGGATGACTAAGAAAAGAAGGGTTATGGCTTAATAGTGATGTGTTTGTGTGCCAGGTTGACAAGGGGTCAGTTGCACTGGATGGATCTGTGTGTCAACTTGACACAAGTTAGTCATTAAAGAGAAAGGAGCCTCAGATGAGAAAATGCCTCCATGAGAACCAGCTGTAAGGCATTTTCTCAAATAGTGATCAGTGAGGCAGAGCCTAATCCACTGTGGGTGGTGCCATCCCTGACTGGTGGTCCTGGGTTCTATAAAAAGACAGGCTAAGCAAGCCATGGAAAACAAACCAGGAAGTAGGCTTGTTTACCCCCATTAACTCTCTGAGGCACCTGGCTCTGCCTCCCAGTGATGGGATTAAAGGGGCATGCCATGACCACCCAGTACACAAATAACTTTAAATGTCCCACTGTCTTTAGCAACACAAACACATTCAAATTTCAATCTCTTTAAAAACACCCAATTTCTCCAAAAATCCAAAATCTCTTAAAAGTTCAAGCTCTTTCAGCTGTGGACACCTGTAAAAAAAAAAAAAAAAAAAAAAATCAAAATTAAATTAAACACCTCTTCAAGAGGAAATGAACCAGGACACAGTCACAATCTGAACCAAGGAAAATTAAATTCCAGCAGTATAGATAACTCAGTGTCCCAAAATGCCTGCAATCCTCACATGATCTTCTGGGTTCCTCCAAAGCTTGGGTCACTCTCCCGCTCCGCCCTCTGCAGCACACACCTTGTCTTCTAGGCTCTGGCTGACTCCACTCCACCGCTGCTGTTGGTTTGGGTGGTTATCCCAAAACAATGGGGTCCTGTGCTGCACCCAATAGCCTCTCAGAGGCGTTCCTGGTGCCCAGCCTTAACTTCTCGGCATGACCCCTTCAGTCCTGGGCCTTCAACCGACACTGAGGCTGCACCTTCACCAGTGGCCTCTCCTGGCCTCTCACAGTCTCAGCTGCCCTCCATGACCTCCTCATGCCTTCAAAACTGGTACCAGCTGGGTCATTCTTACACATTACCAAGTCTGTCTGCCAGCACAAGTCCAACCTTGGCCGCCTGTGGAACACAGCTTCTCTGTGCTCCCAGGAAACACGTTCCAGACTTCGCCCCAGTGATGCTGGTCTCTTCTTCATCACCCCCAATTTCTCAGCTCCAGCTGACCAGCACCAAATCTCCCGGTAACATAAAGGTTTCACTTCAGTAGTTCTGGTAACTTGTTAATCGCAGCAGATGGTTCAGGCCCAGCTAACCAGAACCACAGAATCTTAAATCAAAATAACAAATGGCCTTGATAGAATCTTTAATTTTCCCTCTGAAGTTTCACAAGCCAGGCCTCCATCTTCTGCACTGCTCTCAACATTCTCTTCCAGGCTCCTACAGAACCTCCCACAGAGGTCTCAACACTCAATAGCTTTTCTAGCCCAGAGTTCCAAAGTCCTTCCATAATCCTCCTCAAAACATGGTCAGGTCCATCACAGCAATACTCCACTTCTGGTACCAACTTGTCTTAGTCAGGGTTTCTACTACTTTGACAAAACAGACAAAACACCATGACCAAAAAGTAAGGTGGGGAGAAAAGGGTTTATCTGGCTTATACTTCCAGATCATAATCCATTATTGGAGGAAGTCAGAACAGAACTCAAGCAGGACTGGAAACTGGAGGCAGGAACTGTATGCAGAGGCCGTGGAGGGGTGATGCTTACTGGCTTATTTCCCATGACTTCCTCAGCCTGCTTTCTTACAGAATCCAGGACCACCAGCACAGGGATGGCACCGCCCACAATGATCTGGACCCTCCCACACTGATCACTAATTGAGAAACTGCCTTACAGCAGATCTCATGGAGGCATTTTCTCAACTGCAGTTCCTTGTTCAATCATGACTCCAACTTGTGTTAAGTTGACACAAAACCAGCCAGTAAGCCAGTACAACAGATCAAGTTCCAGGACAGTTTCTCTTTTACATAGAGAAACTCTGGAAAAAGAAAAGAGAGGGGGAGCTGGAGAGATGGCTCAGAGGTTAAGAGCACTGGTTGCTCTTCCTGAGGTCCTGAGTTCAATCCCTAGCAACCACATGGTGGCTCAAAACCATCTATAATGAGATCTGTTGCCCATTTCTGGGGTGCAGGCATTGAATACGTAGTAAATAAATCTTTAAAAAAAAAAAGATAGGGGGAGAGAAGAGAGAGAGGAGAGAGAAAGAGAGTAAGAGAATCAAGAGGCTAGAGAGATGCTCAGCTCTTGCAGAGGACCTAGGATCCAGTTTCTGATCCTAGCAACTCACAACAGCTGTGATTTACAGCAACTCACAACAGCTGTAACTCCAGTTTCAGA